GGGGGCCGGGCTGCGTGACCACACCTTCCGCAGCACCAGCGCTGCGCCGGCCTCCTCCCGCGCCCGCTCGCCGCCGCCTCCATCGGCCGCCTTCTGCACGCAGGGGGGGAGAGCGACAGAGAGAGCGGTCAGTGCCCGCCGCCGGCGGGCGAGGTCGAGAACGGGGCTCTCTGCGCTGCGGGGCAGAGACGGGGAGCGGGCTCCCCTTTGTGAGCGGCGCTCGGCATCGTGTGTTGGATCTTAATTCGCAGGAGCGGGGCGGGGATGCGGGTTTCCGTGTCCCCGAGGTGATGGCTTGTCTAATTTCCAGCCGGTCAAATAAAGCAGGGGACAGGTAAGAATAGTCAGAAAGCGGCAAGCGCTCCCGAGCACTCCGATCATACACATGCGGAGTACACCACCTGTAAAGCTTCTCCCCTGTACTTCAACAAAGGCAATAAAACCAGTGGGACAGGCACGCAAAGTATGCCTCTGAGCATCTCTTAAAATATTCTGTGTACAAATCTCCCTCCTTCGCAACAACTTTTTAACTTGGGAACCAACACCCCCACAGAAAGTTAAGCCCAGTGAGCACCCCTTGCGTGAATCTCGGTTAAGCTGCGATTTGGACACGGACTTTCTCCCTCTCGGCTCCCTTAAGCGGAAGGGAGCTGAACAATCATCCATTTCTGCACAGGCAGCTCGCATCCACAGAGCAATGAAAGCCAGCTGACTGAGCAGCGCAGGAGATGAGGGTTTGCTGCTGACTGAGCAGGGCGCGTTGAAACACGGCCACTGCCGAAGAGCTGCTCGCAGCCCCCTGCGAGATCCTCCTGGCAGATTCAGTCACCGGAGGGTGAGCGACACAAAAAGAGGCAGCTGTTTCAGTGCAAGTACATCCAGTAGTTGCTGGTCCTCTGATTCTGACCTGGTTTAGTTACATCGTTCAGTATGTCAAACACACGTAGGAAGGCAATACATGCACTACTCGAAGGAGAAAAAACAGCATTTGTGCATCAAGCGTACAGTATCCAGCAGTGACAAAGACTTCAAGTGAGCTAAAAATTGCTGAGGAACAGATCTTGGCAAGAGAGGGGAGAGAAAACACTTTATAATCCCTCTTTCTATTATTTTATTTCGTATTCCAAGACCCAGTGAGCCTGATTGCTGCTTCTGGTTGTCACTGTGGTGCAGGCGTGTCCAAAGATGCAGTCCCTGCCCTGAATAAGTTTTCTTTATCAGTAAACAACATGTAGAATTGATCTATGAAATTTCTGCAAGGTCAGACATACAGGTACTGAGCCAATTAATGTCAGATATTCATTGTAACACTCCCAGGGGACATTACTGAGCAGCCGCGTTACAGGAATACTGATGCATAATTGTAATCTTCCATTTCACTGGCCGTGGTTTTTTGTTGCCTACCTATTTGAAAAGCTGCAATGAAAGAAGCAGCTAAAGAGAAAGAGAGGAAGAACAAGAAACAGGTGCAGCATTAAAGCAATTCAGTAACAGGGAGGTTTATCCAACAAATAAATCTCTCCATTTCTCTGTCTTTCCTCTGGCATCCTCTAAGAGAGCCCCGATACTCATTTCCCTGTGCTCACTGACATTCCAAATTGCAGCATGGATGGGGCATGTATGTGATGTATGGTGCTGTATTTGTACAAACCATCTATTTCCACATATATGGAAATGGATTTTAAGCATACCCATATACGTGACATACATGAGCAGCTGGCAGCAAGTCAACAGGGAGCACTGGGAGGGCAAAAGCTCATACTGAAAGGACAATGGTTGTTCTGGAAGACGGTGTTCCCGCTTCAGCATCTCACCAAGCAGAAACATTTTTAAAAAACCTTTTGGGTAATTGTATGCAAATTAACTGCATAAAGTGCCCCAATGGTGAGATTTTCGTAAGACCCTTCCTCTTGTCCTTGCCTGTTTTATCAATTTCAAGGAAGAGCAAAATGAATCTATTTTATCAGGAAAGACAAAATTTGTGCAAAACCAAGGCCAATCAGGTTCCATTTGGATTTTCATTACCTATAATAATTATTTCCAAAAAAAGGAGAGGGATAGAGAATTTCTTTATTTTGCTATCTTCTATTAAAAACAATTCCACTTTAAGGGAAGAATTATTATTTCATTAAAATCCCACTTACGCATGATGTATTTTTGTGTTCAGTCAGGCCCTTTAGTCATACCACAAGCAACAACAATTAACCTGAACAAAGCAAAACACAAAGACAAGTCCTATGTATTTTCCCTATTTTTACAAGTTCTGATTTCATTGCAGATATTACTCTAAAATGACATCAAGGCACGCTTCATTTATCGGAATCTTGAATGGTCCATGAAATAATTAATTCTCGCTGGAAGAAAACGGGGCTGCTCTCAGCATGCTCCATCTAAATCCAGTGGCAGATGAGGAGGGAGGATGCGAGGGGCCCCCAAGTGACAGCAGCGTGTACTGAAGAGCAAGGCAGCACCCTAGCTGAGTCCCTAAAAGTCAGCAGACTGACTCAAGAGACATTCTCATCATACCACCCACTGACAACGAAGCCTCCCAGCACTTTTTCAGACCCTCATGCAGCCCTTGCTTAAGCAACCTGCATCAACCATGCAGGAGCACAGTGGCTCAGCATTACCATCTCTCTCATTTCACGGACGGGCAGATGAATTGGGGCAGAGAGGCTACCACAGGGTCGTGCTCCAGAATCGCAGTTCAGACTCTGGTGACACTACACTGGCACCTCGGCTTTGAGCCCCCCACGCTCCCTCCAGTGCAGAGGGTGGGAAATGACTCCCAGCAGCCTGGGTCAGGATACGTTTGGACTTGTGCTTTCGCAGAGGTAGGACAGGAGAGGGTAGAGCACCAGAGATGCTGTAGAGGTTAATTGCTGTCTCACTTCGCATGTGGCCTTGGGCAAGTCACTTGTGCAGGCTCTCCCCCTCGGTTGTCCCCTCAAAAGCACCATTTGCATCCTTCTTGGATGTTATACTCAATCCCTGGTGCAGCCTACCCATCACTAGGAAATTGAGCTAGTGTCCGTGAAGCACTATGTGTGTCAACCATTATATTTCACATTAATTACAGCTTTCAATTAATCATCTCTTGATAGCTAAACACAGTGCTATCAACCTCTACGTCACTTCCCAGCAGGAGTTTCAAGTAAACAGTAAGGGCCTCCGGACTTGGTGGATCTTTTGACCAATATTATGGTCAATTTTCCACTCCTCTCATCCATCTTCCTAATACTGAGATAAGCCATTTATCTTCCAGGTCATATATTTTAACGGCAGACAAGTGCTACCTTTATTTTCAGCATGAAAGGAACCCTGGGGTGGTATATTTATATGCTTATAGGAATGAAACAGCTGGAAGTCCTTGCTTAGCGGGCCTTAACTTGTGCAGGTTACGCTTTGCATGAGCAGGAATATGACCCTCTGAATTACCACTGGGGCAGAAGAGAGCAGAGGTACATACAGTAGCATTGAAAACAGCCACGGCATGCCAGCTTCCTTATGGAAGACATTAGGTTTCTGGGTTATTTGCAATTGGCAGGGAAGAATCTGATCTCTGGCCAAAGCAACCGCTAACTTTGGTATCAGTCAGGGATATTTCCGTGTCCCTTGAATTTCCGAGTTTGACCTTTTAATTAATTAAAAGAGGAATCAACACCCAGAATGTGCTGCCTCCCCTCTTCCTATGAGAAACATCCACTGCTAGAAATAGCGTTGAAAAGCTGCTCTACGTTCTAACAGCTTTCTAACAGAAAAAGATCAGTATGCTCTGCAATGGTCACAGTATATTCAGAAGCCTGCTTCATTGAAAAGAAATTGCATTTTCACATCATTCCTCCACGGAACAGGACACCTGTGCAAAGATTTATTTTGTTATCTTACCCATTACTGAAGTGCCTGTTAGGCTGGGATGCCGCTAACTAGCAATGCAAAACATGCACTTCCCAATGCCAGAACTTCCCTTCAACATCTCTCCGCCTGCTTTTCTAAAAAAAGGACCAGACCCGGAGCTACCCCGGCAACCCCAGATCCAGAGGGACTCCCACATCGTTGGTTCCAATGGGTAAAGAAGTAATACAGCAATTAAGAGATAACCTGAATAAAGGCACCTATAAACTTAATGGAGCATTGAAAATCCAGTCTGCAGACAGATTTTCCTGCTAACAACCAACCATGCAAAGGCAAAGAGAATCTTCTTTGGGCAACACGCAACAAAGCAAACGTTCCACAGGCTATCTGCTTCAAAACCACATTAAATAACAAAGAAATTGCCTCCTCTCGGACTTATGGAGGGCAGGAACATTTTGTTTTCATAGCACAATTTGGTAAAACTGACTCAATGCAATCAGATAATGCTGATCGCTTCTGCCTCTATGTCTTTTGATGCTGGTGCCAGGGCATGCCCTTGAGAGGTACGGGAAAAAAGGCATACAAGAAGGATTCCCGGGGCTGTTTGTGTTCTGAAGAGGAGACCGCTGCCCCCCACAATGAATCCATGGAGCTTCCATACACACATGGGAATACGTCTATGTGAGAGGTCTGAAATAGAAGAGCGGAGGCCGGAAGGGGGCTCAGAAGCCCAAGTATAGGCAGGCTTCCACTGCAGTGCAAGGAAGGTGCACAAGTAGGTGACAGAGCAGGACAAAAGCCACAAACTAACAAGATCCTCATTTCAGAAGACTGATTCTTTTCCTGGGCAGGTGTATTTTTGCTTGGATGTTATAATCAATCCCTGGTGCACATTACCCATGCAAAAGAAGAATTACAAGAACATGATTAAGACAGAAAGGTCAAGTCTGAAAATTGGGAAACACCGACTGGTATTCTTTAATTTAGCTCCTTTGAATAAAACATTTTTTTCCTTTTTTTTTTCCTTTTTTTTTTTTTGTTTTTTTTTACTATGTCCTGCTCCATCCCTACAGCTCTGCCTTGTTCAGCGTATGTTGAGGCCTTGCTGTGGGACTGGGTCAAAGCTGAGACAAAACATCCTTGTCCGGTGGGAGCCTGCTGTACCCACTGCAAAGGCTGGAAGCACCTGCCACCGCAGTGGCGACACTGAGGTCCCCAAACCTGCCCACTGACAA